CCCCCCCCCCCCCAGCAGCACTATCCGCGATGACGCTGATTTGGTTGCTTCCGTAATTGCTCTCGCTGTCCAACTCTCCAGCTCACAGAGGGGTTTGTAGCAAGTGCCAAGCCAACCCTAAAGCCCTGGCTGGCTCCTGCCCCATGGCAGCTCGCCACGGCACCGTTCTCCCAACCGGCAGCTGCTGGGATGCTCTTCTCCTTATGGCCCGTCTGTGCCTGTGGGGCTGCTCTGCAGGCCAACACAGCAAGTACTTTTTGGCAGGGCTCAGAAGATGGGGGGGTTGGCCTGGAGCCTTTCAGAGAGCTTCTGCCCAGTGCTTGTGCAGATGCCAGCCTGGTTTTCAGTGCAGACATGGGACAACTGCCCCTGGCAGGGCAGGAGCTGAGGGCAGCTCAGCTGAGCCAAGGTGGGGTGGTCTCATGGGCTTCCTGGATGCTGAGCACCGGCAGCAGTTTGTGTTCTTACTTCGTTTGGACAAGCTGTTTCAGAATAAAGTTACCCACTGTAACGTTCACTGCCTGCCTGTGGTTGATAACATGTTCTGCACACAGCGATCCCAGCACTGCCCGGTACCTCCTGAGAAACAGCTGCAGGTGACCCAGGGCACGGGGCAAGCACAGTGCTCCCAGGGCAACTGCAGCAGCCAGAGAGCAGAGCCAGCAGAGCCCAGCTCAGGAACAGGCCCTGCTAGCCACCCAGGGCATGGACCTGCTCTCCCCATGCCCTGGCAGCTTCCCAAGCAGCTGCCTGGGGTGAGATGTCCTGGGCAGGTGCCTTGAGGCCAGCACAGACACCCCTGCAGGAACGGGGATAGGGCTTTGTGCAGGTGGACGAGCTGGTGGCTAACCCCTGCCTGTCTCCAACAAGCTCACAGCATGAGGAGCTGGGGAAGGAGCAGTGCCAAAGGGCAGGGACACGCTTGTCCGTGGCCCAGCCTGGGGCATGCCAGCCGGACACTGCAAATGACATCGGGCAGGTTGGTGGGGCAGAGCACGACCCGGGGGATTCACTTGACTGAACTGATGATGCAGATGGAAATTACTTTGGCAACCATATAAACAAATCCCAAACTGGAGTACAAAGTCAACAAAACACTTTGCCAATGGGAAGGAGTAAACAAACAGGGGCTTGTGATTTATTGCTGATAGAAAGAAGCTGCTAAAAGGGAAACTTGAGGAGAGGAAAAAGGGACGATAAGGGGAGGCAAATCACAAAATTGGAGTCCCTGTTTGGGGGTCCCTGTTGAAAAGCCCTCCACCTGATCACCACAGGGTGAAGCAGGGCAATCCAACTCTTGACAGCCAGAGGGAACCTGCGTGCTTCCCTAACATGAGCGTGAGAAGGGATATCCTGGCTGAACAGATGTCTCATGCCTGCACTACGCTGGGCTCTAAAGGGGAGCAGGTAGCACTTACAGAAGAGCACACCTCTCAGAACAGAAAAACAGAAAAAGGTAGCCCCAAGGGGAAGAGGTTGCTTGGGCTCCGAGCAGCTCCCAAGTAATTTTCTCCTGGTGAAAACTGCCCCTGGCCTAAAGAGACCAAGACTTCTGCCTCTGTTGCCTCCCAGCTCTGGCCGCTAGACCAGTAGTCTGACATTTCTCAGCTATTCCAGGGCATGTGGAATCCCATTCCCTGCTTTTAGCAGAGAACAGGGAAGCACACAGGCTGTCTTCATATGAGGAAGTCTGATATCCAAAGGACTTCCCATGCACCACCCAATCTGGCCTGTAGCACCTGGCCTGGGCAGAAGTGAACAAAGCTGCTCGTCCAGGACCATTTCTGCACTGTAAGAAAATGGACAGAGTGAGCAGCCAAGCATAAACCAAGCACCCCCAGGCACCTCAGCAAAGCCTTGGTCAGGACTGGCTGCCAGGATGCCATTTTCCAAGTACCCAGACTGAATTCAGCTATGGCACACAGCCACTGTGACGTGGCAGGGCTGTGTTCGAGCTGCACCCGGGTGCTTCACTGCTCAACACATGGAAATTGGGTGTAAGGGGACAGTGGAAGCAGGGCAAAGGAGAGGGAAAGGAGGGCCACGAAGATGATTAGGGGGCTGGAGCACCTCCTGTACGAGGACAGGCTGAGAGTTGGGGTTGTTTAGCCCAGAGAAGAGAAGGCTCCAGGGAAACCTTATAGCAGCCTTTTAATACCTAAAGGGGAGTTATAAGAAAGATGGGGACAGACTTCTTAACGGGCCTGTAGTGACAGGACAAGGGGTAACAGTTGAAACTGAAAGAGGGCAGATTTAGGTTAGATCTAAGGCAGAAATTGTTCCCTGTGAGGGGGGTGAGGCCCTGGCACAGGCTGCCCAGAGAAGCTGTGGCTGCCCCCTCCCTGGAAGGGTTCAAGGCCGGGTTGGACGGGGCTGTGAGCAACCTGGGCTGGTGGAAGGTGGCCCTGCCCGGGGCAGGGGGGGTGAACTATATGATTTCCAAGGTCCCTTCCAACCCAAACCATTCAATGATTCTATGAATGCAGACGGAAGAAATTTTCATCTAGGCAGAATCCATCTCCTGGTCCTAAAGTCTTACTGCTTTGGCAACAGAAGGCTATGACCAGCCAAAGGCTGGCTCTGCATTTACCTTATTTTTTACACTTTCCCAAAGCATCTATTACACCCCAAACTGTTGCCAGAAAGGAGGTAAAGCACAGAGCAGTAGTCTGAGCAAGATAACAGGTCTTGTCCACCACACTGAGCCAGAGAATGGACTGTCTCTTCTGACCAGGAGAGACCAAGAGCCTTCCCTGTGCACGCACCTCTCCTCGCGTGGCAGGGTGCATAACTAAAGCAGGCCACGTGTGGGAGCATTCCTTCTGTCCTGTGCACTTACATCTTAGTCTCCAGTCGGCTGTTACAAGATGATGTCATTGCTGAAGCAAGAAAAATAAAATGCCCTTTCCTCTCAGCCAGGAGGAATGCAGGGCTGTGCAGGGATCACTGGCCTGGCACAGATGCTGGAGCATTTTCCTTCCTCACCGTCATCCTCCTCAGTGACAGCTGGATCAGCCACGCTCAGCTCTGCGGGATGGAGCGGCCACAGCGCACCGAGATACAGCAACTGCAGGGATGGAAGATGCACAAACACCCACGTCCGTATGGAAGGAAGAGCCCCAGGGAGGGGTTCCCTGCTCCTGGGAGGTTGCTCTTCATCATTTAAGTCTCAAAGCCTCACACTGGAGTCATGAGCAAGGATTATGAGCGGGTGGCCTGGGACCCCACTAAGCAGCACCCAGAGCTCTTCTCCGGAGCAGGCAGATGCCTACTACTCGTGCCTCTTGTCCCAGGCAGGAACTGCCTCAGCCTCCCAGGCTTTTTTGTACCTCCTACACCTGGTACCATGGCTTTTGTACAGCCCCCCCCCCCCGCCAAGTGGGGAAGAGAACCCAGCACAGGAGAAGAGCCACAAACTGATCCTGGCTACAGGTGTGCTGTTACAGGACTGAGGCTTCCCCCTGAAGCCTGGCCATCAGACCCCAATGCCCAGCCAGAGCTCACCACCTTGTTATCACCATCTCACCGATCTGGGGACTGAACCTGGTCCTCCCGACTTCCCCAACAGTTTGTGGCTCCCTGGGTCTGAGCTGGGGCTGAAGTCATGCTTAGTCCTCTGTACAGGTACATCACAGTGCTGCTTGTCAGCTGCCTGTTTTGCTGCTGTATCAATGGGCTGGTGAACCTGCAGAAGTCACCAGTAGCCCCGTCCAGCTCAGGGACAGCCATGCCAGGGTGCCTGGTCTAGCCCCACACAGAAGGGACATAAAATCTCTCAAAACCATTACCAGCACCAGAAGAACAACCTGTTTTTCCCCTGCATAGCTTTCTGCCCAAGGCTGGCCACACAGCAATCACAGTCAAACCCCTGGGTTCAGACCACAGGTTTTTTGCCATTAAAGTCAATGGAATCCAGCCTGGGCCATCCCAGGCCTTTCAAGAGCAGCTGGGAACAGGGGGCAAACTGGCAGAGGGATCAGGCTGGGAAAGGAGAGACCCTGTCACGACCCAACACTCGGTGAGGTGCAGCAGGGCGGGAGCCTGGCCCTGCCCAGCCTTATCCTTGGAGACCATCACATTTGGTGCCTCAGGCCAAACATAAGGGTATCTGTGGGCCTGACTCTCATTCCCCTTGATCCCCTGGCATCCAGGCATCCCAGCCACAGCTGAACCTGGCACAGGCTTTTCTTCATGGTTTCCTCTTAGCTCAGCTCTGGCACAGACACAAACGTGACACCCCCGAGCCAGGCCACCCTGGTCCACGCCAGCGCCTCCCCCTCCGCATGCTTGACAGCCCAGACACACCACAGGCAAACGGTTCATTCCGAGAGAGATTTTAATATCAAAATAATTTTGTATAAAAATACTTTTGAAGACTGATGGCAGGCAGTCTTCCACACACCGCAACAGCTATCCCAGTCCCGTGGCCTGGTCACAGGGAGCTGGAGCAGCAGGCTCAGGGTGACACGAGCCAGCTCCAGCCTGGAGAAGCTCGCTGGCACCTGCACCGCCATGGCAGTGAGAGCCGCGGAAAGGGCTCTGAGGAAACGGAGCTCCTTAGCGCTGGGAAGCGAGAGGGGCTCTGCCTGAGCCAGACCAGTCCTCAGCCCCAGGTCACCCCCAGGGCCTGCCGGGGACAGCAGCTGGCACTGCTCACCAACGGGTCGGGCCCTCCGGGCAGGTACAGAGCAGCAGCACGTTATATCTCCCCTAAGTCCTCGTAGACAGGTGACAAGCTGCACTCATCCACAGACTGCTCCTCCTTCTGCGCGTGCGGGGGCTTCAGCACCCGGCTGTACAGCACCTCCATGTTGTTGTTGTTGCTGCTGCTGTTGAGGCTGGGTTTGACCTTCTCGGGAGCTGCATTCCCCCGCCGCTTGCTGGGGTCCCCGCCCCTCTCAGCACCTTTGGGGATCAAGGCTGCCTGGGGCTTAGGAGCTGGCACCGGCTTGGGGCCCTTGGCCTTGGCCTGGAAGGCAGGTACTGAGTAGTCGTCAGTGCTGGGGTTGTAGGGGTACTCGTAGCCGCTCCTGCCATCGTGGCCCTGGGTGCGCCAGGCCTCGCCCGTGGGCCGCGCTTCGTCGTAGATGCAGGTCGGGGGGGGCAGTGAGCGGGGAGCACGGCCCTCGGGCTCATCATAGATGTGCTCCAGCCGGCTGGGCACTGCGGGGGCCTGGCTGCATCCCTCGGCCCAGACCTGGTCGTGCGTGCCCGCGTACAGCAGCGCCGGCAGCCGGAGCTTCGTCTCGTCCGCAGCCCTGCCGGGCGCCTTGGCCCCGCTGGCGGCCTTGGTGTCCACGGGCTCCGAGTACAGCGGGTCCAGCCAGGGCCGGAAGCCCTTGACCGAGTCCAGCGGCTCCGAGTACACGCTGCTCGGGTCCTCGGCCGGCAGCACGGCGTGCGGCACCTTGGGCAGTGGGGAGCGCGGCGGCGTGCTCAGGACCGCAGCCTTGGCCTGCGGCACGGGGAGCTCCGGCAGGCTCCGGCTCTTCAGCGAAGACGTGGAGTCCCTCTCCTCCGCTGCTGCACTGGGCCGGGGCGCCAGCGCCGCTTTGGGGCCTGGGGCGTCGCCGCCCTCCGCTGGCAGCTCTAGAGTCAGGCTGTCGGCCAGCGCCTGGCGGATCAGCACCACGCTGGGACTGTCTGACTCCAGTGAATCGCAGCTTTGCCGGTTCTCCTCCACCTGCGCCTTCTGCTCCTGGATGGAGGCTTCCACCAGGTGGAAGATCTCGTTGCCCTGCTTGGTCTCAAAGGTGAAGTTCCCTGGGCCGGAGTCACAGCGCCTGCCAGCTTCGAAGGAGAACATCACCTGCAAGGGAAGCGGAAGGGTCACATCCTGCCCAGCACCTGCCGGCCCCGCAGGCTGCGCTTCCTGCTGAAGGGCGCGTGGCTGCAGCGCCAATCCTGCACATCCTGCAAGAGACTTCACTGAACATCCTGCCCCTTCCACCCCCCACAGCGAGGGCCAGGGGCACGCCAAGCTCAGCGGCTACCCAGCACCCGAGCAGGGGGGAGCTGCGCTGCCCAGCAGCCCAGAACAAGCTGGGAAACTGGAGTGGGATGGACCTGAGGGGACATCACTGAGAGATACCCCATGGCCAGAGCTGCAGGTCCCGCTGGAGACGACCTGCCTGCCTTACCTGAGCAATCCCAGCAGTGTCAGCTGGCACCAGACAGCCTAGAAAATATGCAGTTAGCACTGAGAATGGAGTAGGGTGAGAAGAGTGACAGTTCAGCAGGGGAAGCTATGACGGGCCTTGGGTAGGTCAGCATTAGTCAGGCAGAAGGGAAGCAATCCAGAGGTGAGAAATACAAGACAGAGGAAGACTGCTTTCCATGGGAGAAAGGCCAGGAACAGCAGCTTGGCTACCAACAGCAAGCAAAACATTTGCCTTACCAGCATTACTCCGTTAATGGTATAAAGCACTATCAAAGAGAAGTCTTGCACCAGGCTGTGCTCCTCAGGCCTGAACACACACTCACATACCAGTTCCCACCTGCAGATGCCCACACCCTTCCTGAACTTCAGCCCCTAAATTCAGGTGGGATTTTCTGCCTCACTGGGGCTCTCAAACACATCAATCCTCTCTGGGGTTGCTGCAAAAGCTGCTGGGGCCAGACTTCTTTTTGTGGGTCAGTGCTGCCAAACACAAGTACTGCCAACTCGTCACTGCTCAGGGACCTGTGGGTGCAGCTCCCTGCTCCTTACACCACGTGTCTCTCACCCTGCCCCAGCACAGACCCTGCCTCCACAAAAGCAGCTCAGTTTCCACTTCTGTTTTGGTAAAGTGACACAGAAAGCACCATCAGCAGAGCGCAGCCGACACCGTCACTTCTATAAACAGCCCTGGGGAGACCACTTCCTCCCCATCCAACACAGCGGGTACCTCTTGTGCTCAGGGTAGCAGCAAAATAGATCAGGGACCTGCCTTGGTGGACACTGGAGGGGACAGACCTGCACAGGTCAGCCAGGCCAAGAGCAGCATGCCCCATAAGGTCAGCAAATCCAGAATAACTGGTGTCTCAAGGGAGCCCCTCCTGCTCTGGCCACTATCCTTCAGGAGGGATGGGCTGAACCAGGACTGCGGGGAGCCAAGGTCCCCGGGGCTGAGGAGAGCTTGTGTACAGCACAGGAGGACGTGTCTGCCCATGGCGTGGGCTGGGCAGGGCTAGATGGAGACTGAGGGCAAGCCAGTTGGGGGGGATGTCCGGCAGAGGGGCCAGCTGGCCACTGGAACTGCAACGGTCCCAGTGGGAGTGACACAGTGACCACACAGAACACAGAACCCCAGAATCATGGAGGTTGGAAAAGCCCTTGCAGCTCCTCCAGCCCCACCATGACCCTCCCCCTGACCGTTCCCAACTCCCCCAGACCCCTCAGCGCTGGCTCAGCCCGACTCTTCAACCCCTCCAGGGATCCCGGGGACTCCCCCCTGCCCTGGGCAGCCCATTCCAACGCCCAACAGCCCCTTCTGCACAGAAATCCTTCCTCAGAGCCAGCCTGACCCTGCCCTGGGCAGCTTGAGGCCATTCCCTCGGGGCCTGGCGCTGGCTCCTTGGTTAAAGAGACTCCTCCCCTGCACAGCCATGCCCTCGGTGGGGACGGGTGTCCTGCTCGCCCATGCTCCTACGTGGCAGCACAGGCAGCTGCCGAGGACAGACAGGACCACAGGTGCCCATGGAGACTCTGCTGCGGCTGCTGGGGGCTGCAGCACTTTCAGCATTTGGCAGGGGCTGCTGCACGGCTGCCACAGGCTGGCTGGGCACAGCAGCTCCTCACCCTACAGCAAGGGAAAGCCTGCGGGGGAACAGGCCTCGGTGCATGGCACGCAGGGCCCCCGCCCCCCACCTTGTCCCGTCCGTATCTCCGGAGCAGCCGGTATGGCCAGACATAGAGGATCTTGTTTGTCCGTGGGTCCTTCAGGACGAGACTCTCACGCTCAGCCTTGAGCACGTAGGCACCGCGCAGCTCGCATCGCTCTGCGGCCTCGGTCCGTTGCACCGTCACCCAGAAGGTGTTCACTGTGGGGACAGGGATGCTCAGGGCAGGGCGGAGGAAGCCACGTCCCAGCCCCACCGGAGCCCCAGCAGCAGGACAGGCCCCACAGAAGGTGGCCTGAAGTCAGGGCAGGAGTAGGTCCCACCTTCGTCTCTCGAGTAGTAGATGGAGTTCACAGCCATCTCCAGGGCTGGCGCCTCCCTGCTGTCCTCTCTGCCACGCCGGGCTGCCGTGCCAGCATGGCTGGGGCCGTTTCCCTGATAAGGGAGAGCAGATCAGTCCCTGAGTCCCTCTGTGGCCACCGGCCTCCCAGCCCCACATCA